CACTATCCGGGGAGGGGATTGGGAAGGAGGGTCTACCCTGAGGCTCTTAGGTTGCCATAATATGGGTATATATAGTAATTAACGGGGTTTCCCCAATATAGTAACTTAAATTAAGTTCCTTAACAGCAACCCGTTTTTTTGGAGAGATGCCGTGGTCTCTCCGAGACTTCTGGATGTTTTAGGCTGTCCTTAGGCCTTAGGGGTACCTGGACCCCCAAAAGTATGTAAAATAATGGCCTGTATGGCTATTATTCTGGGTTTAGGGCTATTATTTTACATACCTTTGGGGTTTAGGTAGTGTTCAGGAGTAGGCGGAGTAGGGTTTAGAGTTTAGGGATTTAGGGTTAAGGGTGTAGGGCTTAGTTTTGGGACAGCTTTCAAGGGGTGCGCCTTCAAGGCCGTACCCCTAAACGGTTCCGCCAGGGCTCTGTTAAAGCAAATCGTAAAAGAAGGGGCACAGCCTTTGGGGTACAACACAACCCCAAAGGCTCCATGTAGCTTCATGGTATAAACTTGGGCCCTAAAGTAGTTATATGGGAACCTCTTTGGGCCCTAAGTATATACCATATGGGTGGTTGTCAAAATTATGGTCCCTTTTTGGGTACCCTAAATATTAGGGGCCGTAAATAGGGACCCCAAAAAGGACCATAATTTTGACAACCACCCATATAGCTACATGGAGCCTTTGGGAACCCTCAAACCCTTGGATTGGTCCTAACGACAAACTCCCGCCTCCCCCATAATCTTTAATTCAAAGGGTCCAAGGACCCTAAAAATGAGGTTTTAGGCCCCAAATACCATCCCTATTATAGTACTTGGGGCCTAAAAGCCCTATTATTTGGGTCCTTGGACCCTTAGGGTTAAAGATTCTCCGCGACAGACCTCGGAAATTGGGGAGCACATCTAGCAGTGGGGGGAGGTGATCAATTATGCGCGTTTGGGGTGTCTCAGAAACCCTAAACCCAAAGCTTAAGCCAAAGTATTTTTATAGGGGTCCCACAGATTTATGGACATTGCACAGGGAACCCCGGCGGTTCCTACTGCGCTGCAGGAAACTTTGAACAACTCCCATTTGGGCCATCTGAACCCTAAACCATCCTAAACCCCAATCTCTAAACACCTGAAAATCCCAACTCTGTAAATTTCAAATGCCAGACTCTGAATACTAAAGCTTACTGTGAGCACCGAGCCGTTAACCCCAAGCCCCAGACCGTAAACCCTAAACTCCACAACCCTTTACGGGTGGGTAGTACTTTATTTGGGGGTATTATGGTACCCAATATAGAGTAAGATTATATCCTGCTTTTGGGTATAGTATTTTACACAAGGATTATAACCTTGCTAGGTTCGACCACCACGAAAACGCTACCCTAAACCCTAAACCCCCTTTATGCAGTTTAGACCCTACACCCTAAACCTAGTGGCTTGTGGGAATGCCTGGAAGGCTTCGTGGCTGGCGTTATGCTGCAGCACTCTTCGATGTGCAGATGTTTGGCTCAATTGGATGAGATGTGTAGGGTTTAGGGTTTTAGGGTTTTATGGTTAAGGGGGTTAGGTCTAGAGTTTAGGGCTTTAGGGTTTTAAGTACTCAGTGTCAATCTGTCTCTTCGCTAGTTTCACTACTTGAATTGTTTTGTTTTGCAGTACACAATCTATGTCAATCTATGTTAGTGATGTCGGCAATCCTGAATCATGCGCCTCTCTCTGTAAAGTGTGTTGCAAACCCAGTCAACTGAGCTACGCCAAAACATGAACTACGAATCGGACATGCGCAATGAAATCCAGCATTTGTGCGATATGCATTGAACACTTGGCCCACCACGCCTTCCGACAAACAAACCTGCAGGCGTGCTACTTCGGACGCCTTTTCCGTGAAGCAGGACATCCGTCTGCGCAGTACTGGTTCACAGAGAAAACTCGCGTTGTGCTCCCATGATAAAGACAGTCACTTGCGCGTGAACGCTGCATGTTGTTAGCCTCAAGCAGCACAAGGAACCAACATTTATCTCGTAGCCGGTGGTTATCTTTGGAACTCGAATGCTTCGGCCACTATAACTCTGTCAGTATCTCTTGTAAGGATTGTATGTAGATGACATATACCTTGATAGCGTACGCTTCTTGAAAACATGGGTCCACCCATGTGCCCCGGCTGCAGCTTCACGGCTTGCACCGAGCTAAGCCAAGAATTACGTAAGAGATGGGAGGAGTCGCAGGGCCTTAAGTGGCATCTGCTGCCCAGCGGCACACAGGCCTACTGGAAGCTCTGCCTATCCTGTCATCGTATGGCCTGGCCTTTGGATGGCAGGACGTCGAACCGTGACTCGTGGCCGGCAGAGGCTTTGATTCACAGAGGGCGTAGCAAGACTCGGCTGGTGGGTGGTGATTTTTATGTTCTAGAAACACCGCCTGAGATCTTGCACCACTGAGTGATTCCAAAGCTTCGCCAGGCCATCAAATTGGATCCTTCAGTATGCCCTCCAACAGATCCGAACGTGACTCCTGTCATCAAGCGTCTGCGTCGCAACGTGCAATTCGCCGATTGCTGCTTCCCACCTTTACCTTTAGTGGAGACACAAGCCGCCTTACCAGATGATGACGGCTTGCGCAAATGTAGCGGCCTGTTTAGGGTTTAGGGCTTTGGGGTTTAGGGTTTAGGGCTTAGGGTTTTAGGGTCTAGGGTTTCGGACTACCTGAACCTGAGGTTTAGGCTTTAGGGATTGTAGGGTGTTTGGAGTGGGGATTCACAGATTTCCTGGGCTTCGAAAGTGGGCGAGCCCATCGAAAGAGCAAAAAGAGCTAGTGCTCGACATATTTTCTTGGATTTGGGGCTCAGGGCTTCGCATCAAGGTTTAAGGTTTAGGTGTTGGGTTGCCAGTGAATGACAGGGTTGCGCCTTTGGAGGACAGGGTTCGCAGTGGTGGGATGGAACTTGGTTTTGAATATGATAGCCCTAAGGGCCAAGGACCCAAGTACTAGGGCTTTTGGGCCCAAATATTAGAATATTCATGGTACTTGGGACCTAAACCCCTATTGCTTGGGTCCTTGGGTCCCTAACGGCAGCCAAAGGTAGCCAGCGTATTTTTTTAAAGTTGATGTGTACCAAATACTCTGGTGTGGAGCATGTTTGAAGGTTTAGGTTACTGTAGAGCAACAGATTCCTGCAGCTTCTACGAAGCTACCCTAAACCCAACTCCTCAAACCCTGAACCCTAAATCCAAAACCCTAAACCCTAACCCCTCAAGCAAGGATGAATAGAAATTGTATTCTCGCCAGCCCCTTTCAAAAATCTGTCAGAAATAAACACTTTGCACATGGCCTGCACTTTGGCATGGGTGGGGCGGGAAGGATGAGCTAGCAGGAGTAAAAACTTGAGTGTGGACGCCTCGTTGGGGTCATTCTATTATGACGTGTTTAGGGAAATTTTGGCAATTTTGTGCCTTGTTGGCCCTTCTGGGCGGCCCGAGAATGGTTGTTTTGGTAAAAAAAAAAAATCACGGTTTTGTGACGCCCAAACCTTCAAATTTGGATTCCAGACCCTGAGGGTCTCCCTAAGAATTTTCCCCCATTTTGTGTATTTTTGGCCATGTTGAGCGGCCCGACAATGTTGGTCAACAATTGTCTTTGTGGGAGCCACAAACCATCAAATTTGGGCTCCAGAGCCTAAGTTGGGCGGTCTGAGACCGCAACAATCACCATTTGGCTCTCCTCCAATCGCCGAATTTGGGATTCAGAGCTTAAGGAGCTTCCTGTTTTCGGTACAAAACACCATTTTGGGGCTTCAGAACTTAAGGGCCTCCCTGGGGATTTTCCCATATTTTGTGTATTATTGGCCAGTTTGGGCGGCGCGAGTGTGCCTTTTGGAGCCTTTTTGGCTTTTAGGAGTCAGTATGGGCCTTTGGATACCTTTTGGCCGACTAAGGCAAAAAGCTTGAGAAGCAGGGCTGGAAAAACAACCAAAAAACAATTGGATTTTAACAACATTTCAGAGCAGTCTTAAGACGGAAGTTCGCTCAAAACCCGGTCAAGACCGCTCGAAACTCCCGACTCAAACCCTATACATTTCTATCAACCCTAAACCTTTGCGATTTCTACAGGGCCTTGGGCACCTTGCAGTCTCCACAAAGTGCTGAGAGCATGTAGCTTCTACAGAGCTCAGAAGTCCTTGCAGTCTTTAGGCACACCAAAGCATGTGGGATTTTATAGGGATTGCATAGGATTCAGGGTTTAGGTCTAGGTTTTTGGGTTTAGGGTTTAGGTTGTGCAGGCGATGTCGCGCGCTCGGGCGTGAAACGCCCCTGGCCGCGCGCTCGCGTTGCTTGTAAACCCACCCCCTCCACCCCCCACTACATTCAAATATCGCTGCATTAGCTGGACGTGCCAGT